TCGAGGACGGAGGGTGGAGGGAAGAAAAGGGAGGGAAGTAGAGGGGGGGGGGGGGGGGGGGGGGGGGGGGAGGAGATGGATGGGAGGTAGGAAAGGAAGGAGGACGAGGATTCGAGGGAGGGAGGGAGGAGGAGCGGGGGGAGCATGGATCAAATACCGCTGCTGCTGCTGCTGCTGCTGCTCCTGCTGCTGTTGCTGCTCCTCATTCCCCCCCCCTCCTCCTCCTCCTCCTCCTCCTCCCCTCCTCCTTCTCCCTCCCCTCCTCCTCCTCCTCCTCCTTCTCCTCCTCCGCCTCGCTCCCTCCTCCTCCTCCTCCTCAGGAAGGATATCTCGTTCCTCCTCCTCCTCCTCCTCCTCCTCCTCCTCCGCCTCCTCCTCCTCCTCCGCCTCGCCCCTGCGCCCCCCTTGCCGGGCTGCCAGGCGCGACGTCGCCGCGCGCGTCACCGGACGCGAGGCCCGCGCCCCCCGCCTGCGTGCACCCCCCCATCGCCGACGCATCGCCGACGCGTTACAGATGCTTCGCCGATGCATCACCAGACGGGCAGGGGTGAGCGAGGGATCTGGACCCCGTCAAGAGAGCAGCGGTTGGGAAGGATACAGAGGAGCAGGAGCAGGAGGGGGAGTCAGAGGGCAGTTGGGTGATATTGGTTCCTTTTGTTCATGTGCCAAAACAGGTGGTGCTTCGGCTTCCGCGGGATCCCTGAGCGCCTAAGTCCGACAAGATGTCGAAGAGCCAAGTTTTCCAAACGATCACACTGTTCTGGGGACGGTACGTCTGGGCATGCCGATAGTTCATTGGCCCATTCGAGCAACGAGTCGGCACTCCTCTTGAGCACAGCACCACGGGGAAGTCGGCGGGCGAAGGTTGGCATCAGAATCTCAGCGCAAAAACGAAACATGTCCACTGTCTCTGCTGCTTTGAGTTTACAAGAGTGCTTGGCTGGCAAACCGAATCGTTGCCCTGGACGGTCTCCAGAACTTCAGCCAGACTGGCGTTTGTACAACAGCATAATTACCGACGTCCTCTAAGCCAGGCTGGGGAAGTAGGAGGTCGTTTTTTTGCAGGGGGCACTCCGTTCATTGAGCGCCTCAGTGTCACATCCCACGGTGAGCCCTCGACCTTTGCCCTTCCTCCGATCGAAAAACATACATGCATCATCCCACAGTCGCGCCTTTTCTTCATCCGCTCCAACATAAACATATATCTCGGCCTGCCGAGTCGCGTCCAGGTGGTCACCATCGTCGTGATTCTCCCAGGGAAGATCGTATTCATTCTCAAGAAGGCTGGGGCCGCTGCCTTGCTTGCAAAGCGACGCCGAAGGAGGAGGGGGGGGAAGAGGAGGTGGAGGAGAGGAGGAGGATGAGGAGGATGAGGAGGAGGAAGAGGAGGAGGAGGTGGAGGAAGAGGAGGAGGAGGAGGGAGGGGGGGAGATGGGAGGGCCCCCCCGCGTCCTCCTCCACGTGTTCCTCCTCGTCCCCCTGACCCACCCGATCTCATCATCATCCATCCGCCTCCGTCCTTGCCACCTTGCCACCATCCCAGCCCACCCGTTCCCGTTCGAACATCACTCGTATTCTGACATCATCATTTCACGCACTTTGGCACGCGCCAGTACAAAAAAAAACGCAGTCCTGTAATAGTGCAGGTTCTCCGAGTTGGCGTCGCAGAGGGGACAGCAGTGCAACGAAGACTTCCAAGACGGAATATTGTAGAACGACACCAGCCCCTCCCAGTCGCACATGAGGTAGCAACACGCGGCTTTGAATCCCAAGGCGGTGCCACCACTCTCCCGCCTGGCTGATTCCCTGTCAGGCCAGCGGGCATTGTCCCAGGTAGTTGATGGAAAGATGCCAGCTGCCAATGCATCGAGGGACCACCGCAAGAAGGTGAACAACCGATTGTAAGAACAGCGCCCTCTACACCCGCAGCGGCACGCCACGTGCTTGCGGAACACTATCCCAATGTGGCGAAGACCACTGATAAAATTGACGATGGAGATATCTAGAATTGATTTGGTCCGCCCAGCACCAGCAGCACCACCATATTGGGCAGAATCAACATATACCCCGACTGGGATGACCAACTCGCAAGGACCTGCTTCCGTGACCACGACATGTTCTCGGACAGAAGTCGGCCACTGTTTGGACATCATTTGTCGTCGAAAGTCAGATTCGACCAATGGCGTGGTAACCTCTTCTCGGAGCAGCTCGTGAAACGGGCGCACCGCAATCTGCGCAGTTGAGCGAGATCGTGTCTGGCGAGTCTGACAAGGAACATCTAAGACAACAGGTTGAACTGTAACCAGCCCGAGTCCACGTATTTGTTTTTCGATATGTCGGGAAGAATGACCAGTGTTCCACGAAGGTTGGGGGGCCATCCCCCAGCGTTTCACGTCGCCCACGGCGCCAGCCTTGCTGGCATGGTAACTGATCTCGCAGAAACTCTTGGCAGTTAACTCACCACAACAATAGAGCTTCTGAAGTTGGTGGAGCAGCGCATCACCGGACTCGGACTGGACGTGGGCTGGCACGGGTGGCGAGATTGCGCGGCGGCGTGGCGCCATTGAGTGGCGCTTGAGCATCAGCGGCATCAGCGGTCAGGTCAATGCGGTGAACGTTCATCTGAACCCATCACCATCATTAGCAGCATACCATCATCCATCTCGCGTCCGCCATCCCATCACCTCCCTCCCTTCACCCCTCTACCCGTGCCGTTCAGCACGCCATATCCATCACTACCGCCAGTCCAGAAGCAACCCGTGCATGAAAAGAGAGGGGGTGAGAAAGAGGAGCAGGAGAAACAGGAGACCTTGGGCGTGGAGGACGAGCGATGTAGAGAAATTGGTTCAGGCGAGGGGGCGGATGCTGACGAGCGAGTGCGACAGCAGAACAGTGGGCGGAGCAAGAAGGAGAAAGAAGCTACACGAGCGGCCATTTGCTCGACACCACTCCGCGGCCAACGCACCGCCGCGGGAATCCAAGATGAAAAAACTGCCGTCCGCGGGGCCACTGCGTTGATTTTCGCCTCTCGTCGGCCTGTGTCTGCCCGCCATCGGTCCGCCATCGGTCCGTCATCGGTCCGTCATCGGTCCGTCATCGGTCCGTCATCGGTGCGACGTCGACGTCATCGAACGTCATCGCACGTCATCGAGCGTTTTTGTATATATATATAGGGTATCGCAACCACGTCATCGGACGTCATCGGACATCATCGCACGTCATCGTCATCGGTCCGTCATCGGTCCGTCATCGGTCCGGGATCGGGTCAGATTGAGAATTGTCGGTTCAAATCTAGAAATTTCTGAACATTTTCAGAAATTTCTAGAAATTTCAGGAAATTCTAAGACATCCTAAGAATTGTTTGACGGTTTCTTGGAAATTCGTAGTCCCCATCAAGTCCCCGCCACGTCGTCGGTCGCCTGTGCCCTCGCCAATCGGGGCCCCGCGGAGCAGCACCAGTCGCATCGCGCGATCTGAACGTCGCACAGTCGACTGCTGGCGCGTGGCAGCACGCCACGCTGAGGCGAAACTGGTGCGCCTCGGCAACGCATAAGTGCCACGCACGCACCGTGCACGCGATGCCAGCACAGTAACAGCGCGCTTGAATGGCGTCTTCCAAGACGCGCACCCTACACCAAGGCTCGGCGCCAACAAGTCGCGGTGCCCAAAGCTGTGCTGACACCAATGAAAATATGCGCGGCTGTGCAACCACCCCAATGCTCTAGAGAGATCAGCGTGCGTCACCGAGAGAATACCCCATCACACCAGCGAAGCCAGACAATACACACGAGCACACTTAAGCATCAGTTTTCGCCTTCGCGGCTGCCCTTGGTTTCTTTTTTGGCTTGGCGGCGGTCGACTTGCCACCAGTGGCCGTATTCCTCTGGACCTCGTTGGTATGGATGGTGGTGGCGAGGATATTGTCCAGCCTGTCGACAGCGTCCTGCGGGCACGGCACATGTAGAGCTGGCGATTAAAACTGAACGAAGACGGGCGTCGGCGACAGGGGCCGACCGCAGAGACGGGACGATAGAGAGGAGGTGGACAGGGAGAGAGAGAGAGAGAGAGAGAGAAGTGGATGGAGAGATGATGTGGACGGGGAGAGGAGCGGCGATCCTTGAGGAGCTTGACCTTGCCAGGCTCGCACCCGTTCTCGATCTCGGACTCGGAGAACTGCTGCTTGACCTCGGGTTGTCATCGATGCGTCATCGATGCGTCGCCGATGCGTCATCGATGACGCATCGATGACGCATCGATGGCGCATCGATGACGCATCGATGACGCATCGATGACGCACCGATGACGCACCGATGACGCACCGATGACGCACCGATGACGCATCGATGACGCATCGATGACGCATCGATGACGCATCGATGACGCATCGATGACGCATCGATGACGCATCGATGACGTATCGATGACGTATCGATGGTATTCCAGGGCGCGTGGGGTGTTGATGCGAGGGATGATGACGGCGGCGGGGATGAGGGGAAGGAGGAAGCGGAGGAGACGTAGACTGACAGGGAGGGGCGGGGACGATATGGGGGGCGTGGGGGGGGATGAGGAGGACGAGGGGGGCGAGGCGGACCAGGCGCAGCAGGAGGAGGCGGAGGAGGAGAAGGAGGAGGAGGAGGGGGAGGAGGAGGAGGAGACGGGCAAAGAGAAGGAGACGGTCGATAGGATCCACAAGACGCGTCGCTCTCCTCTCCGCATCTGTGCGCCTTCCTCCCCCGCCTCATCCTCATCCTCCTCCGCATCCCCATCCTCCGCCTCCGCATCATCCTCCTCCTCCCCCGCCTCATCTGCCCCATCGTCACCCTTCTCCCTCATCCCCCCCTCCTCCTCATCATCGCCATCATCATCGTTGTTCTATGTTTCTATATCCGTCTCCTACCGTCCTCCGCCGTTTTCCGCATCACCCCTTCCTCTCCGCCTCGCCCCCCCCCCCCCCCCCCCCCCCCCCCCCATCTCACCCTTTTTGTTTGCATGCGACGTGCCTGGGCGAACTCCGCGCCAAGGAGCAACTGCTTCCAGACGTTGTTCTCCTTCACCATCGTGTTGAGCTCGCTCTCGTACGACTGGATTTTCCCCTGAACCGCACTTGTCCTGGCCCAGGCGTACTCGGCTTCGGGGTCATCCTCGTTCTCCTTGATAGTCTCGAGCATCGATTTGGCAGTCGAAAACGAAGTCTGTGCAGCATTTATCACTTTGCGAGCCTCCGTGAGTCGAATCGTGGCCAGGGTCTTCACTGGCTTCGGCCTTTCTGGCTTAGGATCTGGCACTGGCTTGGGGCATGGCGCTGGCTTCAGCCGTTCTGGCTTGCGGTCGTGTGTTGCGCCACAGCCATCACCCTCAGCGGCGTCGCGGCCATCTTGGTCGTCGGCAACTTCATCATACTCAGCCTGATGCTCAGTGATCTCCCAGCGCTTGGTGAACTTCTCCTGCCAGATCGTCTCGAACCACATGAACTTCACGGCTCCAGTACCCTCGTCGACCTGGGTGAAGGGGTACCCCATTTGGATGCACTTCCCAGCATTTGCCTGGCAACCTCGAATCGTCTCCTCGTCATGCTGGCCGCGAGGCCCTCCCTCCAAGTAGCACATCTTCAGGAACGACACCAACTTGCCGTTGCGGATCCACGAGTCGTCCACCGAAGTTGTGATCGTTTTGAGGCGCGTGATGGCACCCTTGTACTGGTCGGCCACCCACTTCTTCTTCCAAGCATCTACGTCACCAGTTGTGTTGTAGTCATCCTTGAGGCTCGCGTCTTTCTTCAGGTCGCGCTGCAGCCGCTGACCCAGGGGGGGCCTCATCGTGAACGCGCAGTGGCCTTCCTCGTAGATCTGCTTGGCCTGCTGGTCGCCCTTGTAGTACTTCTTCTGCTGGGGCGTCATGTTCACCGGCATCTGCGACGACTGCATCGGGTTAGCCTTCGAGAACTTCAACGAGTCATCACTGTGAAGCTGCCTCACGCGAGCAACCAAGTCATCCTGGATTGACGTGGCATCGTCTTTCGCTGGTGCATCGCCATCAGTCCTGCTAGGGTCGGGAACCTGTTCGACCCCCCGTCTCTCTCTCTCTCTCTCTATATATATGTATCCTCTCGTTCCTCGCTCTCTCTCTCTCTCTCTCTATTTCCACGTCCTCGTCCTCCTCCTCCTCCTCCTCTTCCTCCTCCTCCTCCTCCCCCCCCTCTCGCCATCCTCCACCGCGCTATCATCGTCCTCCTCGTCCTCCTCATCGTCCTCCTCCGCCTCCTCATCATCATCCTGTTCTGCCTCATCCCCCCCCTCCTCTTCTGTTTCCTCCTCCTCCTTCTCCTCCCCACCCCCCTCATCTTCCTCCTCCTCCTCCTCCTCCTCCCCCACCTCCACAGCCACCCCCCTCTACCTCGACCGCATCCTCCTCCTCCGTCTTCTCCTCCTCCCCAGCCTCCTCCTCCTCCTCCTCCTCCTCATCCTCCTCCTCCCCCTCATCCTCCTCCACCTCCCAGTTGCCACTTCATACTGCCCCAGCGCAGTCCTCGGAGCTCGGATCTGGCCTGCAGGCGTCTTCGGGCCACTCGACGCAGCCGAGCAACTCGGCGGACCCCTGCTGGAGCTGGGCCGCGCCGCGCTGCGGTTCAGAAGCATGCTGACCTTCTCGTTCGTGGCCATCGGCTCCGAGGCGGCGTGGGCGTTCTGCTGCAGGCCATGCCTCGGCGAGGCGCGCGGCTCCGCCTCTGACCCGACCTCGCTACGTGCAGGGAAGCTTGGTGCAGCCGAGGGCAGTGCCTTCTTCGCAGGCGGCACGCTGATCAACGGATGCTCGTCTGAATCAGGTGATGCTGGCGCCGCCTCCTGGTCAGCCTCAAGCTGCCTCGTCCGCCACGACGGTGCTGCTGGCGCCGCCTCAGGTGCTGCTGGCGCCGCCTCAGGTGCTGATGGCGCCGCCACCGTGCCAGCCCTGCGCTTCTTCTTCTGCCGCATCGGCTTAGCGGCAGGCTCGGCCACCGCGGCGGCCCCGCCCGACTCGCCGACCTCGGCGGCGCCAGCGCTTACCTTCTCAGATACTGCCACCCTAATCCAGAACCCGACGCAGTCGCTGCCGCCGTGACGGAGGACGGACGGGCGACTGCGTCGAGATGGGGGTTGTGATGCGTGCATCTGGCCTTGCGGCGCTTCGACTTCTTCTTGCCCTTGCCCTTGCCGTTGCCGCGCTTCTTGTGCTGCGTGCCCTCGCCGCCCTCCGCAAGCGCTGCGTCGCCCACATCAGACGGCGCGTCGCCCACTGCGGGCGGCATATCTTCGTCGACCCTCTCGGCGGCGTCGCCGACGAACTCGTTGGACAGCGGCGAGCAGCTCGGCTGGCGATCGGGCGGCGGCGAGAAGCTCGGCTGGCGATCGGGCGGCGGCGAGCCGCTCGGCTGGCGATCGGGCGGCGGCGAGACGTAGCGACGAGCATCGCCGCCTGCAGGCTCGAGGGCAGGACCGAGCTCGCCACCGTCCCACTGGGATTCCTCATCTGATGCCCACTGCCGCGACTTTCTCCTCATCCTCCTCTGACGCGGCGGCGGCGGACTCGGACTCGGCGGCTGCAAGCTCTCCCTGCGAGCGCGCACGAGGTCGTCGTCCACGTGGCGCTCAGACGCGAACTCCACGCTGTCGCTGCCACCGCCTGCGGCGGCGCTAGGGGGGAACGTTGCTACTTTCTGAAAATCCTTGCCTACTCGTTTCTCCCCGTCCCCCCCTCCTCCGTATCATCACCACATGACTCGTCATCCTCATCCTCCTCCTCACCATCCTACTCATCCGCCCTCCCCTTCTCATCATCTTCC